AAAAAAAAAAAAAAAGCACCGGTTAAAGTTTGAAACACTAGTTTTAATCCCTCAAGGCCATTATAGCCTCCACAAAGATTCCTAATCTTTTTAAAAATTTACTAACCCTTTAGCTGGGCGTGGTGGCTGCAAGCCTGTGATCCCTGCACTCAGGAGGCTGAGACAGGAGAATCACCATGAGTTCAATGACTCCCTGAGTTGCATAGTAAGTTCAAGACCAGACTGGACTACATACACAGTGAGACCTGGTCTCAAAAAAATCCCACTCCCCCCCCCAAAAAAAATACCTACCGGTCTTCTCAGAAAAACAGTACATACAAGACTGAGTTTCCTGGGAGATTCTTAGATGCCTAGAAGTGCATCCATATATCCTCGGAGTGTCCATGAACAAATGTTGTGAACCTTTGCTCTTATGAAAGAGGTACCTATTCTGTCACGTGATTTTCAGAAATTATCTCCTTTAATCCACAAAGGGGCCCATGATTTAAGGATTGTTAAACTGATTTCCAAAGAATGAAAATTCGCTTGCCCGATATTGAGCAATTACTGAGTAACAGAGCTGGGACTAGGATTTTTTAAAAACTTGGAATCTCGCTATGTATTTCTGGCTGGCCTTGAACCCACTATATAGCCCAGGATGGCCTCAAACTCAACACAATTCTTCTGCCTCAGCCTCCTGAGTTCTGCAATTATAGGCATGCACTACCACACGTGACTAAGGATTCTTAATTTTAGAGCCAGTATTCTTGATTCAGAGCCATAGTGCCATAAGAAACGTAATGATGGCAGGTGGCCGGGCATGGTGGCACACACCTATAAATCCCAGCACTTTGGGAGACTAAGGTAGGAGGATGCAAATTCAAACCCAGCCTGGACAATTTAGTGACTTAATGAGAGTATCTCAAAACATTTTTATTTATTTATTTTTTCAAAAAAATTTTAGCGGGGTGGGGGATTTAGCTCAGTGGTTCTGTGGCCTGCCTTGCAATCCCCGGAACAAAAAAAAAAATTAAAATGGGGCAGGGGTGCTGGGAAAATAGCTCAGTGCAAAGAACCTGGGTTCACTCTCTAGTTCCACAAAAAATAAAACACAAAAAATTGAATCATTGCAATTGGGTGAAAAATTCTGATTGGGGAACAGAAAACATATTGATAGTGGAAATAATTCAGCTAAGTCTGAAAGACTTTCTTTCTCTTTTTTCTTCTTTCCTTTCTTTATTTTTCAATACTGTGAATGGCCTAGGGCTTTCTACAACTAAATTACATCCACTGCCCTTTTTAAACTTTTTATCTTGAGACAGGGTCTAGCTAAATTGCCCAGCCCAGGCTGGCCTGGAGCTTGTAGTGATCTTCTTGCCTCAGCCTCCCACGTGCTGGGTACAGGCATGTGCCACTACACCTGGCTGGCCTCAAACTTTTAATCCTCCTACATCAGCCTTCTGAATACCTGGGATTGCAGGAGTGCATCACTGCACCTGGCCCATGAAGGACTTTTTTTTTTGAAATAAAAAAAATTTATTTAGAGCAAATTTGGGGGCCAGGGATTTAGCTCAGCGGTTCGGTGGCCTGCCTCGCAAGCGCAAGGACCCGAGTTCAATCCCCAGTACCAAAAAAAAAAAAAAAAATTGGGCTCACAGCAATATTGAGCACAAGGTACAGAGAGTGTCTACATATCCCTCTCCATGCATAATGTTAGTAACATCCTGCCAAGACTGGTACATTTGTTACAGTTGATGAAGTCCAGCTTTGTATGGTGGCAGTAGTGTAGCCAGTGAGGTTTATCTGAGTTTCGGTTATTGTTAATGAATCTACTCAACAGAGAGTCAGAAAATAGGGAAGGTTTTTCTGTTGCTGTTTTTGTTTGGTGGTTTGGGGTGTTGGGGATGAACCCAGAGTCTTCCATTCTCATCAGCAATGAATAATTTTCTTTTGCTCCATATCCTTGCCGGTTTGGGTGTTGAACTTCATCCTGAAAGCCATTAGTAGCTTTTGAAGACTTTAGGGCTGGATTATACCCTCTTTATAGTAGGTTGAATGGTGGCCCCCAGAAAGGTGAATCCATTCAGAAGCTGTGAATGTGACTTTCTTTGGCAAAAGGGTCTTAGCAGCCATAATTAATTAAGAATCTTCCATATGGGGAAAAAATGAGAACCAAGATCTGTCATATAAAAGTACAAGATCCCAATGATAAATGTAACTGTACTGTATACATAAAAAGCACCAATAAACACAATGAGAAAAAAAATCTTCCAGGTATGGTGGCACATCCCTATAATCCCAGCTACTTGGGAGGCTGAGGCAGGAGGATCTAAAGTTCAAGGATAACCTGAGCAATTTAGTGAGGCCTTGTCTCCCTAAATAAATGAAAATGGGCTGGCAGTGCAATTTTGTGGTAAGCCCTTGCTTCACTTGTACAAGGCCCTGGATTTGATCCCTAGCACTGAAAAAACAAAAACAAAAAACAAGAGAAGGGTAAAGGAGGCACAGGGAAGAGATTATATGAAAATAGAGGTAGGGGCTGGGGATTTGGCCAGTGGCACCCATGCCTGCCTCACAAGTGCAAGGTCCTGAGTTCAATCCCTGTACCAAAAAAAAAAGAAAAAGAAAAGAAAGAAAGAAAGAAATAGAGGCAGAAGTTGAAGTGATGTGTCTACAAATCAAACAAGGCCAAGGACTGCTAACAGCCACCAGAAGCTGGGAGAGAGGGGCATTAAACAGACTCTCAAACCATCTTGACTGGAACTGGGGGTGTAGGTCAGTGGTAGGGCTCTTTCCTAGCACATGCAAGGCCCCTGGGATGGAGATATATATCACCTTGATCTCAGACTTCTGGCCCCCAGAACTGTAAAAAAAATAAATTTCTGTTGTTTTAAAGTTTGGGATAATTTGTTATGGCAGCTCTAACACACCAATATACCCTAGACTGTATAATCCAGGCCCCAGTCAAGTGCTCTTTTCCCCTGCCTGGTGTCCTACCCACCCCCTTATCTGTCTTGTAAAATTATACTCATTCTTCATTCTTTTTTTCCTTTTCTCTCTTTTTTTTTTAGTTTTTTGAGACAGGCTCTTGCTGTGTAGTTCAGGGTGGCCTTGAACTCACTATGTAGCCCAGGCTGTCCTCAAACTCGTGGTGGTCGTCCTGCCTCAGTCTCCTGAGTACTAGGACTACAGGCGAGTATCATGATGCCCAGCTCATCTTTAAGATTCCGCTCAAAAAGCAGCTCTTCAGCAAAGCTTCCCTGAACTGCTCCCCTCTCCATCTTGGTAAATTTAGTTCCTTCTCCTTCTGTATTCACATACTTTGGACTGTCTTCCCATCTGTGCCATAGAACTTATTACATACATTGTATTGTATTATTTGTGTATGTCTTCCCCACTTATCTATAAACTTCAGAATGATAAGGGTGCCTTATTTGTTTGTATAGTCTCAAAATGTAAGCACCGTGTCTAGCACATTATTAAAGAATCAATAAATGTTATCTGGATAAACAGTTTCTGTAGATAGGTGTGGTGATGCATGCCTGTAACCCCAGCACTTGGGAGGCCAAAGCAGGGGGACCACGAGTTTAAGGCCAGTCCCGGCAAGTTAGTGAGACCTTGTCTCAAAACCAAACCAAACCAAACCAAATCAAACACCTCAAATATTAACAGGTGGGGACAAAGTAATTTCTTTAAATAGCATCTCCAATCAGCTCTGTGTTTGGGAGAAGGTAAGTCTGGTCACAGAGTAAAGAATGAATTAGAGGGCTGGGGATGTAGCTTAGTGGCATGGTGCCTGCCTGGCAAGCATGAGGTTCTGAGTTGGATTCCCACTACCAAAAAAAAAAATTAGAAAGGAAGAGCAGTTAGTGGGTTCCAGTGATAATCGTGACTAGAGGTAATGAAAAGCTGATTTAGCACAACAGCTGTGGAAATGGAAAGGAGGAAACTACTGGGAGCAACACCACAGAAGCAGGGTGGATTGGATTAGGGGGATATTGAAGAGGATACTGAGGTTTCAAGTCTGGGTGACTGAGAGGACAATACTATTACCTGAGATAGCAGGTTTGGGGGGATGGGGAGTTTGAAGCTAGTATTATTGTTTTTCTATTTCTAAGTGAGATCTTTTCACCCATCTCTACAGGGACTCAGCTCAAGCAGCAGCTAAGAGTAGGTATTCTGGTTTTGCTTAGGTCAGAGGAAGACAACTGTACACCTGCCTGTAGGAGCCACAACAGTATTTTCCATCTTCCCAGGATTGTACAGCTTTGACAGAGATTTAAGGGTGAATGAGCCAAGAAAGGATCATAGTATAGGATTGGGGTGGTATTGGAGCCTCCACTATAAAAGATAATGACTTAGGGCCCGGCATTTAGTTCAGTGGTTCCGCTGCCTGCCTCGCAAGCATAAGGACCTGAGTTCATCCCCGGTACCCCCCCCACCAAAAAAAAGATAATGACTTAGACAACTGGGTGTGGTGGCACACGCCTGTAATCCCAGCACTCAGGAGGCTGAGGCAGGAGGATCACTGTGAGTTCAAAACCAGCCTGGGCTATAGAGTGAGTTCAAGGCCAGCCTTAACTACATAGTGAGACCCTGTCTCAAAAAAACAATAAATACATATAAAATAAAAGATAATGACTTAGAGAAGGTGGTTGGGAATGGTGCTAGTGGAAGTAAGGAGATCTCTCCTAGGATTCTGTAGGCTGTAACACTGTTTTTTTTGTTTTTTTTGTTTTTTTTTGTATCCGGGATTGAACTCAGGACCTTGCTCTTGTGAGGTAGGTGACAACACCACTGAGCTAATTCCCCAGCCCCTGTGACACTATTATATACCCTCTTTAGTCTCTACTTAACTCCACCTTAGAGCAGCACCTAATCTCCCAAAGAACTTAGTCTGTGTCTCTGAACACATTTGCCACACCCTCTGTAAAGCCCTGGCTTGTAAGGTTCTTTCCACCGGAAGCTGTGACAGGAGGAAATGTGTGGGTGGGGAGGGGTAGAGGGTTAGAGGCCCAGGTTCCTGACACAGACTACACACACCCAGGGAACAAAGAACAAGCGCCATGTTGAAGCCATCATTGCCACTGAGATCCCTCTTACTCCTGCAGCTACCTTTGCTGGGGGTGGGGCTGAACCCGACGGTCCTCAAGCCCAGTGGGAATGAAGACACCACAGCTGGTGGGGAATCTGGGACTGGAGGGGGTTGGTGAGAAGGCTATGGGAAGGGACCATACAGAAATCTGGAACCTCCCAGTGGCCTTCATAACAATGCAGGGAGAATTGAAAATTAGAATGGGGAGGATAAGGGGAAAGGTTGCCTGTCTCACTATTTTTCCTATCCTTTCTTCTCTTTTCCTCTCCCACTTTATTTTCTCCCCAACCTAGATTCCTTCTTGACCTCTGAAGCCCCCAGGTCTCTCAACATTTCCACCCTGCCCCTCCCAGAGGTTCAGTGCTTTGTATTCAATGGCGAGTACATGAATTGCACTTGGAATAGCAGCTCTGAGCCCCAGCCTACCAACCTGACTCTTCGATATGGGTATGAGAAGGGAAGAGGGGATTGCACAGGGGAGGAAGAAGAAGTGGGGTGGATGAGAGAGACTACAAGGAGACCAAGAAAGTGGGTAGCTAGCCTCCCAGGCACCCTTCTGTTTTCTCCTGGGATATAAGTTACGGGTTAGTTCAGGTCAGATAGGTTAGGCTGTGGACATATGCAGTACCCAAATTTGCCCCACTATTCCTCTTCCTTCCAACCTTTCTCTAGGTACAAGAACTCTGATAATTATAAAGTCCAGGAGTGTGGTCACTATCTGTTCTCAAAAGAGATCACTTCCGGCTGTTGGCTGCAAGAAAATGAGATCCGTCTCTATGAAACATTTGTTGTCCAGCTGCAGGACCCACGAGAACCCAGGAGGCAGATGGAACAGAAGCTAAAACTGCAGAACCTGGGTAATTTGGAAAGCAGAGGTCAAGAGGACAAGGCTATTGTGGGGCATTAGAGCCAGTGGAGCGGTGTTCTTTCCTCATTGTGGTATAAGGAAAGGAAGAGGTAGAGGATCAGGATGCAGAAGGGATGAGGGACGATGGGAAACTACTTTTAAGAACCAGACTTGTCTAAGCCAGGGTAATGACCACACATGCATACATATCTCCAGTGATCCCTTGGGCTCCAGAGAATCTAACACTTCGCAACCTGAGTGAATCCCAGTTAGAACTGAGCTGGAGCAACAGATACTCCTTGGACCGCTGTTTGCAGCATTTGGTGCAGTATCGGAGCGACTGGGATAGCAGCTGGACTGTGAGTGACTGGGGACATGAATGCAGCAGCTAAGTCCAAGCACATGGAGATAAAGCATTCAATAATCCAGATAGAAACACCTTATACCAAGCTCCTGTTCTTTGCCTCCCAGCTCCTATGCTCCTTCACCCTCTACCCTCTTCCAACTCCTTTTCTCTATCATCATCAGTGAATTCTCATGTGGGAGTCCCTTTCCATACTCTTTCTGGAACCAGATGGAAGAGTAAACAAATGCAAGCCATTAAGGGGATCTGGAGGGGAGGCATTAGATTCAAGTCAGTAAAGAGAGAGGCATGCTTGAATTGTTAAGACAGGAGGGAAAGGTCAGAGAGAGGGGAGGGGAGGAGGACAAAAAAGAATTAAGATGCGTTGTGTTCATGTACACCCCCCCATGAATGTGATCATTATGTACTGCAAACATGTAATAATAGAAATAAATACATTTTTTAAAAAACAGAGGAGGGGAGAAACCAGAAACAGGTTTCTTCGGAACTGGGAAGAACCAGAACTTGGAAGAGACAGGTGACACTGAGGCATAGGCAAGAAGGTATTTTAATTCTTCCTCCATTTATATATGCTCACCTTTCTCTCGCCCTCTTTCTTCTCAAGGAGCAACAAGTGGATCACAAGCAGAGCTTCTCCCTTCCTAGTGTGGATGGGCAGAAACTGTATACATTCCGGGTTCAGAGCCGCTTTAACCCTCTCTGTGGAAGTGCTCAGCGTTGGAGTGAATGGAGCCACCCAGTCCACTGGGGAAGCAATACTTCAAAGGGTAAAATAGACCAAATATATGATCCCAATCCATAAGCCCAGCACCCTAAACTTTCTTTTTTTTTTTTTTTGGTACCGGGTTTCGAACTTGGGTCCTTGTGCTTGCGAGGCAGGCGGCAGAACCACTGAGCTAAATCCCGGCCACTTTAATCTTTCCAACACCACTGTCTTTTGCTCTTCCTCTCTATTCGTAAGCCCCCAAACATGTTGCTTCACCTCCCCTCATGTTTGACATCAACTCCTAGGATGCAGGGGTTTTCTCTGTAGGGGTGGGTTGTTGAGTAGGGAGACTGGATTGAGGAGGCCAAAGGGTGCTCGAGGGAGATACGGAATGTGTATGATTTCTCTCCAGCATTCCGGAGAGCCTGCATGGTGAAGATGGCCTTGAAACCAGACTGACCACTCTTTCATTCTGTTTCCTCATCTGTAAAATGTAGATAATGATTGTTCCTCTCAGGAACTGTAGTGAAGATTAAGTATAAGGGAGTGTGTTTTGTGTGACACCTAGTACCCTTGTCGTAGAGGCGCCACAGAGTAAGGTTCATTTTCCTTTTTTTTCTACAGAGAATCCGTGGTTGTTTATAACCAAAGCCGTGCTTATCCCTGTTGGCTCCATGGGATTGATTATTAGCCTCTTCTTTGTGTATTGCTGGCTGGAACGGTGAGATTTCAGAAAGCTAAAAAAAATGAAGTAGGGTGGTTGGGAAGAGTGAAGGAGGGTTATTTCAAGATCTCCAGGGCACTAGGGAATGAGGGTATCAAGAAAGTATGGTGATGGGAGGAAGCTACAGGCACAAAAATACCCCACAGAATCCTTTCATTTCAGAAGACTGGAAGAGGGGTAACAGGGTTTTAACTTATGTACTCGTATTCCCTCTTTCTCAGGACAATGCCTCGAATCCCCACCCTCAAAAACCTAGAGGATCTGGTCACTGAATACCATGGGAACTTTTCGGTGAGAATGCTATCATAAACATATTGCAGTCTATCAACTGCCAACTGCTGGCCAGCAAGATAGATGTTGGTGGGGGAGGGGGGTTCAGAATACAGGGGGAGGGGCCCTGCACTGTCAGGATGTGGCCAACCAAATGGGGGTTGGATGACGGAGAGAGACACACAGAAGAATGGATTATAGATTGTGCAAGACAGATGAAAACAGTGGCATTGAGGGCTCAGGAATCTGGGTGTCTCGTCTGTAATCACAGTGGTTACAGACATCTAGAGAGTTCCTCTGGCACAGAGCTTGTGTCTCGCTTCCTGCTCCTAATTGACCTTTGACCTGGAGATATCTGTCTTTAGGCCTGGAGTGGTGTGTCTAAGGGACTGGCTGAGAGCCTGCAACCAGACTACAGTGAACGGCTTTGCCATGTCAGTGAGGTGCCCCCAAAAGGAGAGGCCCAGGGGAGGGGCCTGGGGGTTCCTCCTGCAGCCAGCCCCACGATCGGGCTCCCCCATGTTACACCCTTAAGCCCAAAACCTGAGTCTCAATTCCCTGACAGAAGCCCAGCATCCTATAGCCCTAAGTGTTACTAACTCCCTGTCATCCACCCTTCTGATCTGGGCCAGTTCTCATTCTGACTCCTGTAGTGAGTTTTGGATTTGGTGCCCCATGTAATTGCCCCTTCATTCATCCCCTACTTGAGAACTGCCCCTTTGCCCTGTCCATGTTTCTCATATCCCCCAGTCTGGCCCTTCCTTTTTATAGTATTCTTTCTCCCTTTGTCCCTCTTTCCCTCCTTCATACCACCTATCGTTCAGTTGTTCCTGGAATGAATGAGAAATAAAGTTTCTGTTGATAATTATCAAAAATGTCTGTCATAGAGGCGGGGAGCAGGGGAAATACGGGGTGTAATGAGGGTGGGAGTCAGGGTGTGAGGGGGGGAAAAATAAGTAAAGTCATGTTGTAGAAAGGAGTACTGTTCGGGAAACGTTACTTTTTCCAGTCATTCCCAGTCCGGTTTAGTTTTGCATTTACCATGTGTTCCCTTTCCCTGTGTGCCATTTCCAACAAATCTTTTACAGACCCCACCCAAGTTCTCCTCTCTTTAGCCTTACTCCACCTTCTGCTACACCTACCACTTCTGACCTCACAATCCCTCACCTGGGCCTCAGGCCCCACCCCTAGACCTCCTCAGCCTGTGAAATCTATCTGCCCCTCCAGTCTCTTAACCCCATGGGCCCACTTGGCCTCACCACCAGGCCATCTAGAACACTTTCCTTTCAGAAAACTGGACAAGGTGCTCTCTGCAGAGTGAGACAATTGTGAGAGCATGTTTATCTTCATCAAACATGGAGGTGAGGGGCAGCACAGAGCTGGGAATGGGCATGAGGAGGGTTGAGGGCAGTGGAGATCACAGAGATGGTGCAACTATAGAAGGGCCTGCATACCCCATCCTATCTCTTCTCAGATAATCAGCAGTTTCTGGTTAATACCAATTGCTCTGTCCTCCTGTTGATGCATTACACCCGCTCAAAAGTGGGCTTGAATAAACAAGGTGAGTTTGGGGAGGGTATTAATGGACAAGGTCAGAAGCTGGAGAATCATGTTTAGTTGTTAAACTCTTCTCCTGATAAGAAGAGAGTTCCTCATATCCCTGTAGCTTCCTCCAACCCAGTCTGGAGGATCCCTGGTCCCTTTTGCTCTCATTGTCTGTCCTCAACTGCCCCAGTTATCTTGTGGCCTTCCTCCAGACATCATCGATTTGTGTGATGAATCGGGGACAATGAAGATGTTTTTCATGATGAAGACCCCTGGAGAATATGCCAGCAAATTCCTTACACCTCGAGAGACTTACTACGTTTGTAAGGTGTTGCATGGGCCACCAGGTAGAGGTCTGAGTGTTCCCAGAGATACAGTAAGGCCCTGAAGATGGATAATGACCTTTGTCCTTAAAATAGGACACCTTTTTCCAGATCCAAATTGACCATTTCTAGGAAGGCTAAGACAGGGCACTGTTTCTGTGGCAGTTAGGTTCATACGCCTCCCCCATTTTAGCGTTCACAACTCCCCCTTATCTCCATTCCTAAGGGAAAGAAATAAGACAAACCAACTCAAGGGAGTATTTAGTGTTAGACTCCTGATATCTTAGACTTCAGAAGAGTGCAGCCTAGATGACATGCTGGGATAGCACACTGCTGTGTTCACAGGAACCGGAATTGCGAATTCCTACAGAGCTATTGTGCCCCTCCTGAAGAATCCAGAACCCCAACTGGTTGGTAAGGAGTATGGTGGGAGAGGGAAGAATATGGATGGCACTACATAGCTATATGGTGGAAAATGTATAGTGCGACTAGTGTACCACGGTAGGTGGGATCACAGGAATCTAGAAAAAGGGGGACAGGGTGCAGGTCCACTTTAGGAGGGATGCAGTGCCTTTTTCTGGTTCTTAGGTGCTCTTCGCACACAGTGTGAGATCTTAGAGAGGAACCGAGTGAAGATGCTTAAAATGACGCTAGAAGCCAAGCGGATTGCTTCAATGAAATCCACTGTGAGCCTCCGAGTAAGAGTCCTCAAATGTGGCTTGTCCTTTTCCCATCAGCAAACTGAATATTCCTCCCTTCTGCTTAAGGAATTTAATTTCCTTACTGAATCCTTGTCTCCTTTTGTCCGTTACCTTCCCAGCAGGGCCTCTTTATTTATCAACTTATTTTGCCTTTCTAGTCCAAATCAAGAAAATCGAAGAAACGTGGGCCCCCTCCTTCTCGCAAGGGCCTGCACCACAGGCGCGGGCCCCCTCCTTCTCGCAAGGGCCTGCACCACAGGCGCAGAGGTTTTCGTGGTCGGAGGAATAGACGTCGCCAACTCAATAAAGTGACCAAGTGAGAACAGTATTCTGGGTATGAAATTCCTACAATTTAACGTGTTTCTTCTTTCTTTTTTTCTTCGGGTACTGGGGATTGACGTACATGGGTACTCTACCACTGAGCTACATGCCCAGCACTTTTTATTTAGAGACACTGTCTTACTAAATTGCCCTATTTGGGACTGGAATTTGTGATCCTCCTGCCTCAGCCTCCTGAGTAGCTGGGATCACAGGCAGACACCTTCAGGATCATGAAGTTACTTTTCCGAGAAAGACTCCTACTCCCTGCACTAAGGCTTAAGTAGGCCCCAGGCATTGGGGAGGCTGGACGAGAGCGGTGAAAGAGGGGCAGCGAGCACGAGGGTGGGGTGAGGAGACTTAAAAAGTCTAGTACAAAAGTCTCGGAGGGGTGGGGAGGGGTTTGGGGTCCTCTCAAACCAGCACACAAGGCCTTAGGAGGCTTACTTACCTCCCTTTTCCGGCTGAGTTTAGGTGACCCTCCCCCACACCCTCCACTACCTCCCAGGCTGAAATTCCCCCACCCCCACCGCTCTGCCTGGGGCAGTCCTTCCACCCGCCCTTGATTTAACTGCCCTTCCACTTTTCCCTTATCCGAGGGGAGCAGAGAGGCAGTAGAAACCTGAGCTGTTATAGGCATTTATTGAATTTATTCATTTATTGATTTGACACACTTCCCCACTCAAATCTAGCACATGATACAATCTGGGTAGGCCA